ACCCCAAATCCGGGCTCATTTCATTTTTCCAGAGTTGGCTGTCAAGGGGGGGGAAGGGGGATATAAATTATTTTTAAAGGGGCTAAGAGGGTTTAAAGAGGGGTCCTTGAGTGTGAATTTTGTTTTTTTTAATCTCCAATTCCGTGAGGAAGTCTGATGTTACCCTGAGCCAAAAATTGTTTGTATTGCAATTCTCTAAAACATTTATATTTTTTGGAAGTTTTGGACTCTTTTTTTTTTTTTTTTTTTGGCTCTGGGTCTGCCCGGAACTCTGCCCGGGGGTCATGCCCGGCCGGGTATCCGGGCACAAGTTGGGTGCTCGGACGACCAAAAAAACAACCTTGTTTTATAATTCATTTTTCTTTTTTTTTGCACACGCGCGAATTTTTGCGTACGCACATTTTTGCACACGTACGAATACGCACTGCGTTCGCTTAGGAGGTGGTACGCGACTTCCGACGTAGAAATAACCCCAAGAATTACTGAGGTTTGATCATCTTGTCTTGTGAACGGTGGATGCACATGTATCAGAGATGTGGACTGAGTCAGCTGAACCATCGGGATGCCAACTTTTCGAACCTCCCGGACCACGGCCGTTCCCGCACAACGAGGAAAGGACACATCTGCAAGTGGGACGTGCGAAAAGCTGTCTCCAAGATAGGTGGCCCTTATTACTTCCCATCTAAAGCCCGGTGTTCGGGATGTGTAAACACTGGTTTTGTGGTTGTTGATGCTCACTTTCCCCCTTGTTCCGTTTTACCCCCTTCAACGAGTTGATTGTCGTCCCGTGGCCTACGGTTGCGCCCGATTGGCCTCGTACTCTGTGCTGCGATTGTCGTAGCACAGAGCGCTTTCAAGCCAGAGGATTCAACTATCAGAAACGTGGCGAGGAGGACTACAAGCAAAAAGCAGTGAGATTCTCTGATTCGAATTCAGAACTCTGTGGCGAGCGATGTCGGTCCCTTGTGCGAAACCGGGACCTGACGGGTGTGCCTCATCCCTTTAGACGCACGTGTGCCTCATCCCTTTCGACGCAAAAACAGACGTCCCGCCGCGTGCATTAGAGTTCAAAGGTACCTTTTGGATTACTAGGTATCCGTTGGCAAAAGACGCTTCCCTACCCTTTATCGGCCTATTGATGGCCGCTTGATATCTGGGTTCACACGGGAGATTTCAGTTTTGTCTGAGTCTCCACACTCAGTTTTCCAAAAATCCTTGGCACACCCCATTTTGCCGCTTTCCAGGCCCCTTTTCACTCTTTAGTCACTCCGACAAGGAAAGCAGAGCAGGGTGTGAAGTTGAGCGTCACAACCATTCTGTCATGTTCTACCTGACAGGGGTGTTCAGTCATGTTCTACCTGACAGGGGTGACCTGACCGGACAGCGGTTGAACGTACTGGGGCTAAGCAGAGCCCCGTTTACCCTACTCGGCCCTGATCGAAATCATCTCAAGCTTCCAAATTTCTTTCTCCGTACTTGGGATTGTATCCACTCGGCAACTATGGGCGAGTGTCCTCTGACATTCAATTTGTCAGTTTCCAAAGTTATGGGCGATGGTCCTATGTCAGTCTTCAAACTTATGGGCGAGCGTCGTATGTCAGTTTTCAAACTTATATATTCTGCCATCTCCTGCTTGTTCCATGTTTGTTGCTCCAACCCAGTCCACCGTGGACGAGTGTGCTATGTCAGTTTTCACACTTCCATTCTGTCCGCTGACTAGGGATGTTCTGGAGGTGTGGGTGTCTATGGAACTGCACATAGATCATGGAGGAGAGTGGCCCAACTGCGAGACTAGAGAACGCATGAGGTCATGAAAGGAGAATACTTCCATTTTCTCATGGCTGAGTTTTACTCTGTTGAGTCCGTTCTATAGTTTTCATACTGTAGTTTTCACTCTTCAAATTCGCTTCTCTTAAATAAGATAACAGGGTCCAGAATTTAAAACACGGGTTATCAAGGCCAACAGGGTAGGAGAGTGGCCCTGAGTGGGTACTGCAATTAGTCTCCCGCCACTGGATAGTTACCTTGTGTCACTGTGTTCGCATTTCTCTATTTACTTTTACTGTTATGTCATGCTTGCCTGGGATAAGCAACCGGACTGGTACCCAACTACCCTCCTTTTTCCAAGGCGGTTTCCTTTTTCCAAAACCAAGAAAAGAAAAGAAGTAAAAAAAAAAAAAGAGAAAGTAAGGACAATATGAGCTGATCGGTGAAAAAGGAAGACATGAAGGCAAAAAAAGTGGCCAAAGAATATTAGGCAATATCGGGTATTCCAGAGCGGCACGCTTATAAGTAGCCATGATTACATCACATTCTTGAGCCGCTTTCTCCTCTCTGGACAAGGACAGTTTACTCCGTTCTAAAAACCCTACCAACACATAAAGAGGGCCGTTCCCAGTTTGTGTCAATTTGTGAGGATATGGTTGTATCTATGGGACGCTGGACCCGGTTTCCAGCAGGTGCTGCTCCCCACCAATAGATGGAGCACGTGTTTTTGTGTGTAAAAAAAAGAAAAGGGCCGTTTCCGTTTTCATACTTCTAAACAAAGACACGACAAGAGAATTTCAAAGGAGAATATGTGCTGATCGGTTAGAAAGGAACACAGCCTTGAGATGGAAAAAGGAAGATAGTGGTCACAGACGTCGAGGCAATCAATCTTTCTGGTATTACAAAGCCGCACGCGCATTTTTTTAAGTAGTAGCAATGATTACATCAGTGACACCACATACTCGACCAGTTTTCTCCACTCTGGATAAAGACAGACTGAGTTTACTCCGTTGTCAGCTCACCAGACTGAGTGGAGAGCTTAGAGCAGTGCTGGGGAGAGGCTAGAACACTCAAAGTCTCATACAACAATCAAATTAAATGCCATTCTTTGGAATCTTCGTGAGCGCCTAGCCATACTCCTGAGCGAGAATTAGAGATGACATTGTGTTTTCAGTACAACCAAGTCCACTGGCCTAGTTCTTTATATGCCCTTGGCAGAAATGTGATGGTCACGATGATGATAATGACGACAAATCGTTGACGAATCGTTGATGATGATGATGATGATGATGATGATGATGATGATGATGATGATGATGATGATAATGATGATGACGACGATGCATCGGACTCAGTAACCTATGAGGGGCTGTTGATCTGGCATAATTTCACGAGGAAAAGGGACCTCAGAGGCAGTCACCGAGTACCATACTTAAAGAAATGCAAATCCTTTCCTGGTTCCACTCTAGCTGAATGGGAAGTGGACGTTCCAAGGTGGAAAGCCTCGCGACATGTGAACTGAGACATCCCTGTGAGCAGTCTCTCAAAACTCCCTCTTGCATTGTCGCTGTCTACCAAGCTGTGCAACCACGGCCAAGGGAATGAACTTGGAGGAATCGGTCTTAATAGTCTAACTTCCTGCAAGTTTCGCGACCAGCCTGAGACCGAAATTTGCTTTCGTCGACCTTGGACTTGAGGAAGCAGCAGTACTTGCCCTTGGACCAATCGTATGCCGCATGGACAAAGCCTTTGCATTTGCCCTCGGCCCCACACGTGTCTCTGCACCCCTCATAGCTTACCGCACCGGCCACTTTCAGGCAGTTGATTTTCTTGTACGTATATTCATTCTGATCTTTGCCGGGGTTGCACAGATAAGCACCCTCAACCGTGGGCTGGTATAATGCAACCAGCAACAGGAAGGCAACAGCCGCGAGGGCTGCCATTCCCATGGACGGCTTCATGGCTGGCCTGCTGGCCTTTGTCTTCTTCCTGCAGTGGAAGGATGATCCTCGTCCGACAGCGGAGAAAAGGCACGTCCGCAACGACTCCCTGCAATGCCATGTCACAGTCGCGAGAGCAGATACAATTGTTATAGAGGGATCATGAGTGACACGTACTAGTATCATAAGTATTGAATGTGCCGATTGACAACCTACTTCCCCCAAACATATTATCAGCTCATTATCATTGTCACAGAATGCCTCAGCTTCTAAATTGCCCATGCATTATGTTTGTGGCAAAGCCCACTCCCGAATAGGGAATTCCACGTCTTCGGACGTTCGTGGGTACTCCCAGATTTTTTTCCCAAGTCGGGAGTGGTGTGGCGACGCTCTCTGAGGGGCTCGCCACACCAGCTGTCGAAAGTGCATTTTTTTGAAAGTTGTCGTCGAAAACTCGAAAGGAAGAGTTTCGACAGAACCCCCCCCCTCGGCCACACAGCACTGTCGAAKTGAAGGGCTCKCGAATTCAAGTGCAGAAGAGACAAACCCGCATGAGTATAGGACAAGCATTTCTCCAGCCCGACCACAGTCCCGCTCAACAATCTTCGAGGAGAACTCGATAGGTCGGCGGTGGACTGTCGAAAATGCCTATGTTGCAGGTGGGCGAGACCTTGAATTCGAAAGGAGCCGTCGAACAGCGACTTCTGACAGGTGTCGAAGATGTGTCAACATTTTTTTGTTCGACAGGTGGTGGGGCGACTCGGACTGTCAAAAATTGCACTTTCGACTGGTAGTGTGGCGAGCCCCTGAGGCTCGCCCCACACAGGCTGTCTGAACCCGGCCCCCCTTCGGGAGTGGGAACTCGCAGATCTTTTTCACCTACTGTCAGACATTTTTCGGTCCCCCGCCCCCCCCCTTCACCACACAGCACTGTACAATGGACACGCACTTGTGAATGAAAGATGCAAAATGTGAAAAAAAAAAAAAAAAAAAAGTAAGATGGAAAAAGACTAATGCCCCTGAGGGTACGACAAGCACTAGTCCATCACGACCTCACGCCCACTCACCAAATCCCGAAGAGAAGTCTACTGCGCAGCCGAGGACTGTCGAAAGCTTCGGAGTAGCTGTAGCAGGTGGCTGGGTGGGGATTCAAGAACTTTCGAAAGGAGGTGGCTGGGTGTCGAGAAGCATTCTCTGACAACTTGGGATTTTTTTTTCCCGTCTCCAATTTCAACACCCTGTGTGGCCAAAAGAGAAACTATCGAAAATCGTGGTTTTTCGACGGTGGTGTGGCGAGGCCTTACTCTCCACTCTCTGGAAAATAGCAGAGTAGGCGGGGAGTTCTCAGACTCTCCGATTTCCCAGATTTTGGGTCATCGCTGCACTAACTCTACAAACTCAGGGCATACTCAAACCGAGACCCCAAATCCGCAAAATATGCGGATTTGGGAAGGGCAGATTCGAGGTTTTGGGCATGGTTCACGTCTCACAGGTGTGCCTTTTCAGATGGGACAAGGTCGCGGCCTTCTTGGAGAAATGGGCATTTGGTACTTGGCTGGTCACAGGGCGCCATCCACCAATTGAGCAAGAACTTTTGTGAATGAATTTTTGCCAATTTTTTAAGAAAATGCAGAAAAAACAAAAGGGCATTATCCGTCACCTCCAGAGGTGACCGCCCGCGGCTTCCCAGGCCGCTGACAAATGGGCACTGGAATAGTACATTTGCGAATTTGGTAGATCCATGTGACCGGCCTTTTCCCCTTTTTGGGGGGATTTTGGGATTATAGGTCCCGGTGTGAGTATGAGTATGCCCTCAGACTCCGCGCCTAGTTGCACTACTCTCCATACGCCAAGTTTGGCCAGTAGGCGCCTGGGCGCACTTACTCTCCGAACTTGGCTAATGCAAAATGTGTCAGACGGCTCGCCAAAAGTTGTGGAGAGTGAATTCTGTTTCCCGCCCCGACCTCTCCACAAAACAACTTTCTGGACAGTGCAGGGCTTCAGGCGCCTGGGCGCACTTACTCTCCAAACTTGGCTAATGCAAAATGTGTCAGACGGCTCCCCACAAGTTGTGGAGAGTGAATTCTGTTTCCCCACCTGTGCACTGCAGTTTGTGGAGGGCGGTCCTCGGACCTCTCCACAAAACAACCTTCTGGAGAGTGCAGGGCTTCACGAGTCTACATCAGTTAGACAAAAAATTTGAACTTTTCTGTAGAAGAAATGTAGTGGCAAGTAAGTGCAACCAGGCTTTCAGTTGGACACGATTCTCAGTTTTTTCACTCTCCACGCATCCACCAAGAAATGTGACGGATGGCGAGTAGGGCAACTGGCCCTCTACAACTATAGAGGGGGTACAAAAAGACAGCTCAAAGTCCCCGTCTGTCTGCCCAGACTCAAGGTTCACTCTCCAGATTTGGAGCAATCCGTGTTTCATTGGAAGGTCTCTCCCCGTAAACGAATTTTGCAGGCTGGGCACTCTCCGACGGCGGAGAGTGCAATTCTTTTTTGGGTTCTGACAACTCTCCCGATTTCTTTTGGGGTTCTATAGGAGAGTTCGTGCAGCTATGCATAACTCTCCGAATTGGCGCAAAGTAGAGTAGTGCAGCGAGAGCCTATGTCACGTTTTGAGTTTCGTTTTGAGTTCGAAAAGGCAAGAAAAGAAAATGCACGGGCAAAGAAAACAGCAGAACTCGAAAAGGGAGTCGAAATAGATCCGTTGCCCGTTCTTATTTTTATTTTTTCCTTTCCTCGTCTGGTACCACGGCGTGCCCCTGTCGTTATGATACTAGGCTATGGCTCTGTCACGATCGCCGTGCTTTCATTGCCCTCTAGAGTTCAATGGCATGTGTTCCTTTTGCCCATATGCATTCGCCAAAAAGAAACTCTGTTCTGGCATAAACGCACTTGCCCCCCCCCTTTAAAAATAGCAGTGGGAAAAAGCAGCAGTCGTTGCATCCTCCAAATGTGCATAATTCATTCACAGCGAGGATTCGTGCTGGTCTTGAAAACGGTGCTTCCCGTGCGCTTCAGAATCGGCTTGTGTCAGACACAGAAATGAAGAGGGTGCGTGCTGCTGAAAACAACAATGCTTCCCCTGGACTCTCTCTCTCTCTCTCTCTCTCTCTCTCTCTCTCTCTCTCTCTCTCTCTCTCTCTCTCTCTCTCTCTCTCTCTCTCTCTCTCTCTCTCC